TGGTCCAGCCTCCGCATCAGCTGCTTCGTCTGGTCCAGCCTCCGCATCAGCTGCTTCGTCTGGTCCAGCCTCCGCATCAGCTGCTTCGTCTGGTCCAGCTTCCGCCTCGTCTGGTCCAGCTTCCGCCTCGTCTGGTCCAGCTTCCGCCTCGTCTGGTCCAGCTTCCGCCTCGTCTGGTCCAGCTTCCGCCTCGTCTGGTCCAGCTTCCGCCTCGTCTGGTCCAGCTTCCGCCTCGTCTGGTCCTGTGCCCACCAGGCCATGGCCAGCACGCCTGAGACTGGAGGGCCGCCGCTGCCTTCCGCGCGGTCGGCCCCCTGAACTGCTCCGTCGTCTCCTTCGCCGCCGCCGCTGCCTTCCGCGCGGTCGGCCTCCTGAACTGCTCCGTCGTCTCCTTCGCCGCCGCCGCTGCCTTCCGCGCGGTCGGCCTCCTGAACTGCTCCGTCGTCTCCTTCGCCGCCGCCGCTGCCTTGCGCGCGGCCGGCCTCCTGTACTGTTTCCGCATCGCCGCCGTTGCCTTGCGCACGGCCGGCCTCCTGTACTGTTTCCGCATCGCCGCCGTTGCCTTGCGCACGGTCGGCCTCCTGAACTGTTTCCGCATCGCCGCCGTTGCCTTCCGCATGGTCGGCCCCCTGAACTGGTTCCGCGTCTCCGCCGTTGCCTTCCGCATGGTCGGCCCCCTGAACTGGTTCCACGTCTCCGCCGTTGCCTTCCGCATGGTCGGCCCCCTGAACTGGTTCCACGTCTCCGCCGTTGCCTTCCGCATGGTCGGCCCCCTGAACTGCTCTGTGTTTGGGTTGTTTTCTTGGGCTCCGGTGTTTGCTGTGCTCCTCTTTTGTTTTCTGTTCCGGGCCCTCCGTCCTGGGCCCCCGCCGCCCGCCCTGGGTTGTTTTCTGTTTGGTTTTGTTTTTCTGTGTTTGGGCTGTCTGGAGCCAGCCCTTGAGGGGGGGGTACTGTCATGGTCCTGGGCCATGTTGGCCCAGCGTTCTTAGTTTCCTTGTATGTTTGTATTTTATTCCATGCTTCCCCTGCCCATTATGTCTAAGTTCTCCCCGTGCTCTCTCTTCCCCCTGTGTACCCTCTATGTATTTATGAGCCCTCGTCCCCTTTCGTGTTTATTCCATGTCTCCCCTGCCTGTTACGTTGGGGTTCTACTCGTGCTCTCTCTCCTCCTGTACTTCCTGTTTCACCTCTCCCGTCAGTGTTCAGTTCACCCCGCCCTGTCTCGTTATGATTATCAGTGTCACCTGTGTTCCCCGTGTGTTCCCACTTCCCTCGTTAACCCTCTGTGTATTTCTGTCTGCGTCTCCCTCTGTTCAGTGTGACGTCGTCCCTCATGTTGTGTGGATCTTCCTGTGTCTACCTGCGAGTGTTAGTTTACTTTTTCCCAGTTTAGTTTTGTATTTCCTATGTTCTACCTCTTCGGCAATAAAGCTGCCTTTTGAGTTTATTCCCTCGTGCCTGTGAGTCCTGCATTTTGGGTCCTACTCCTGCCTGCCACACAGCCGAGCCGTGACACTATCACAGCTATGCAGATGACACACAAATATATATCACAATGTCACCAGGAGACCGAGGCCCTGTACAGGCTCTTGGTAAATGCATTGAGGAAATCAATGACTGGTTGTGCCACAATTTTCTCCAGCTAAACAAAAACAAAACTGAGGTAATAGTCTTTGGCGCCAAAGAAAAACGATTACAGGTCACCAGAGAACTTCAATCTATACATCTAAAAACCACAAACCAGGCGAGAAATTTGGGTGTAGTGATGGATGCAGACCTAAACTTAGAAAAACACATTAAGACAATAACAAAGTCAGCTTACTATCACCTCAAGAATATATCAAGGATAAAAGATCTGATGTCTCAACAGGACCTGGAAAAACCATGCATTCATCTTTAGTAGGCTTGATTACTGTAACAGCATCTTTACAGGTCTACCTAAAAAATCAGTCAGACAACTACAGCTCATTCAGAACTCTACTGCTCGAGTCCTCACTAAGACCAAAAAAGTGGACCACATCAGTCCAGCTCTGAGGTCCTTACACTGGCTGCCTGTCCGTCAGAGGATAGACTTTAAAGTTCTGATGCTGGCCTATAAAGCTCTGAATGGTTTAGGACCAAAATACATCAATGACCTCCTGACCCAGTATGAACCATCCAGATCCCTCAGGTCATCTGGATCCGGTCTTTTATCAGTTCCCAAAGTCAGAACCAGACACGGAGAAGCTGCATTCAGCTTTTATGCTCCTTATATCTGGAACAAACTCCCAGAAAGCCTCAGATCAGCTGAAACACTCAGTTTATTTAAATCCAGGTTGAAGACTCACCTGTTCTCAGCTGCATTTGAATAAAGCACCAAATCCACACTTTAAGCTTAAATTTCAAAACTTACATTTAACTACTGATTTTATCTACTGTTCTGATTTTATCTGTTTTGATTTTATATACTGGTTTGTTTGTTTGTTTGTTTGTTTGTTAATTAGTTAGTTAGTTTATTTGCTTGTTTTAATCAATTTTAAATCATGCTTTTTATTTGTTCTTGTTTCTAATGTCTCTGTAAAGCACTTTGAATCACCTTGTTGTTGAATTGTGCTATACAAATAAACTTGCCTTGCCTTGCCTACTTAGCAGAAACATTGAGCAACCTAACTAATAGGGTTGCAAACTCCCAGCAAAAAAAATAGGGAACCACCCCCACCCTCCACCTCAAGATGCTTAATTGACGTAATCAACTTTAATTTGATGCAGTGTGGGAAAAAAATCCACAGAAATCAATTCTTTTTCAAGAATAATTAAATAGATTCAACATCTTTCTTCAACAGAATTGCAGACTGCACAGATGGTACCTTCCCAAAGGAAAAAGTAGTATAGCTAACTAGGGTATTTTAGACTTAACAGTTACTATATACAGTAATGGACTTCTATATATTTTACATAAGATTAAAACTTTGGGTGTAAAATTCAGATAATTATTTATTAAAAGTGAGACATTTTAAATGAGAATAAGAAAGAAAAGTATGTCTTTGTGCCCCCTTTTCCCTGTTCATGTCCTATCGGCCCCCCTGGCTAAACTTTGCTAGATCCGCCCCTGCACAGTTACCAGCCGTCAGCTGCGTAGAAAAGGATCCTGGTCTAGAAAGTAATATTAAATAAATTCTAACAACAGTTAATCAAGCTTAAACGTGCTGCTGTTGTTCAGCCGCTGGTTTCCTCTTTCTGGTGCAAAGTGGGCCACAAACAAGCAAGAGAGACGGACTCGCGACAGAAAAGCCGATCAGCTGATCATTAAGCAGTTTCACGATTGAAGTAGCAGCAAGAAGAGGCAGTCGCTCCATATATCGGTTGTTAATCTTAACGTGGGAATGCTTTACAAACATTCAGAGATGAACTTACACACTTGCTTTTCTTCTCTCTGGGATGACTTCATCAGAGATGAAATGCTGGTTTGAGGCTACAAATACACGTAGCCGCTCTATCACTTGAGCACACTGCTCCGTGCTACGGTTATGAGCCGAGTTACGCCGTGTGGCAAGTTTTGTGAGGTACTTTTTTGATATTTAATGGATTGGATTACATTTTTTATTTCTCTCCGATATCCGATCCAGTAATTTACGTCAGTATCGGACCGATACCGATACGTAATATCGGATCGGTCCGTCTCTAATACATATGCCCACATTTGGGGAGAACAAGGAGAAGCTGTACACAACACACACAAAAAATGACCAGAGAGCTTAATCTGAGCATCTGCAATTAGCATAGCTTGGTGCACAAACAGAAAATTTTTTAATTTTGTTCTTACATTAGGTGCAGGAGTGGGTTTCAAGTGAAGAAAATGAAATAATAATATCCAAGACAGAAGCCTGAAAAGGCACAGCTTTCCAAAGGGACTGCACAGAAGTGATGATGAGGTGCTGAATATTGTTTCAGTCGTACTTAGTGTGAACACAACTGACTTGGGTGACTACAGTATGTTTGCATCCTTCAAGAGGTAAATCATCCGTCAAAATGTAACTACAAACTTTCCCCTAATATCCTTCTCCTCCTTCTGCTTTGCAAATAAAGCTGTGCTCCATCTTGTTATCGTAGAGCAGATGAGCTCTAAATTGCTCATTCCACAGTCTGTTCATTAATTAAGAAGTGAGGGACATTGTAATCAGCCTGGGTGGAGGAACAGTGCTAAATCAAAAAAAGAGAGGGAACTAGTCAGACAGAACAACTTAAAAACTGCTTTCAGTCTGTTGAAATGGTAGAACAATTAGCAATGTGTTTGACATAAAAGTGGAGCAGTGCTTTGTGGACACTGGAACAAACCAATGATCAATCAATATCAGTGCATTATTTACCACTATTGATTATCAGTGTGTCAGCCAGTACCACCCTGCTGCTCACAGAAGCAACTGGCTTCTGTTTATGCAAGACAAATCCTCAAAATCAGTGTGATATTTTGGCTGGCACTAACACACTGCATCATTATAACATGGCGTGAGCGTCGTACACTAACTAAAGCTACGTAATGGTAAAGTGTTGGTGAAAAAAAACTAGGTGGTAGCTTATAACTTTAATTACAACCGAATGTCTATGAGGTGGCACAAACGCGCTTTATTGACTTTCCAGCTGTTTATTAACTCATTCACTGCCAGCCATTGGCAGTGAATGAGTTAAACCCATTGACTCATTCACTGCAATTGACGGCTATAGACGTCAATGGCAGTATTATTATGATTAGCACTTTTTTAGCTATTGGTAGCTAATATTGTTTGCTGTTGATAATGTAAGCAAGCATAAAAGAGGCCTTTAGGCAAGGCAATAATGGAGGAGACAATAAATGCCACCTTTGAAATTTCGCAGGGAAATTCACATGGAAAATGTTTGAAAAATGCAACTTTTATTAGGTCAACTTTTATAAATGTAAAGAATCATTAAAATAAAAAACAGTTAAAGTTGAAAACTATATAAATTCAAATAGAAGATTATTAAACAGAATTCCCATCCCTCACCTTTTTGTGCAGGTCCAGCCAGGGGTGCTGGAAAGATTGAAGAAATAATGGGTTCCTGTACAAGTCCTGAGCCACCTGAAGCGGTGGTGGAGGCAGAGGATGGAGCTGTAGAAAGGGGTCCACAGATATTATCTTTCTCTCTAGTCCCTGGTGAGAGCAGCACCAGCCCCTGAACCTGGCAGCCTGTGTGATTTCTGCACTGTGTTGCACTTGATTTCACATCTGAAAAAGTTCCCTCAGAGCACTGCTTACAGACCACGTCCTTTTTCTCACTGCCCTGCTTTTTCACCCTCTTGCCTGGGGGGCACAAAGAGTGGGGCTTACACACAGCAGCACCATCCCCTGACAGGAATGTATTGGGTGGGCATGTGCAGATTCGATCCTGGGTGGCTGTGCAAGGCGTTTTCTCAATAAAGCCAGCTGGGCAAGGACTCCTGCAGCGATGGCATTGCTGAACTCCATTCTCTCCCCGTGTGAAGGTGCCTTTGGGACAGGGGCTGCATTCCCTCACAGAAGTTGGAGAGCAGTGGATGGAGACATAGGTGCCAGCCGGGCACTTATCACAGACCAGCTGGGTGCCCGTGTCTTGGTCGGTGTGCTGATAGTGCCGTTGAGAAAAAATGGGCTGGTCATCTGTGCTGGATGTGGTCAAAACCCGAGCTGAGATATCAACCACAACTGTACATAAGAGCTGAGGGGAAAAGAGAAGGCAGCTATTAGGCGAAAGACTAAAAATGTTTTGAAAAATGTTCTGGTGTAGAAATTTATGCAACAGGACAGATTGTCAACCCCTGAATGATGCTGCATTCATTATACTGCAGTAAGTGTTTAAAGCAAAAACCAAACACTATCTGAATTCTTAAGACTGGGATCCACAATGTCAGTTTCACACATTAGGCGGTTTTGTCAGTACTGTCCACTGAAAGATGGAGTATGAAGTAACTTAATTTTACAAGAACCACCCACATTAAGGCTGTAGCTCAGGTGGCAGAGCAGGTCAACCACTACCCAGAAGGTCGGTGGTTTGATCCCAGACTGCTCTAGTCTGTGCAAAATTCCAAATAATTCTTGGGCAAGATACTAATAATAATGGATTGGATTTATATAGCACTTTTCAAGGCACCCAAAGCGCTTTACAATGGCACTATTCATTCACTCTCACATTCACACATTGGTGGAGGCAAGCTACAGTTGTAGCCTCAGCTGACCTGGCAGACTGACAGAAGCCATATCGCGCCATCGGCCCCTCTGGCGAACACCAGTAGGCGGTAGGGTAAAGTGTCTTGCCCAAGGACACAACGACCAGGACAGAGAGCCCGGGGATCGAGCCGGCAACCTTCCGGTTACAGATGCGCTTCCCAACCCCCTGAGCCACGGTCGCCCCATGTTGCTCTCCGATGCATCCATCTGAGTGTGAATGTGTATAAATGTAAGATATTTAGCACTTAAGAGCTTAGAAGATGTGATTGGGTGAATGAATTAGTTGTATAAAGCACTTTGAGTGCACAGACAAAGTAGAAAAGCGCTATTTAAGAACCAGTCCATTTAACTAATATCCTGTTATGGTACTTATTTCCTTTACCATCTACTATTTTTTATGCTGTCCATGGCTTTTTTATAAATTTTTGCCCTGACTGAAGCATTCCAATTTAATATGAAAACTTCAATGCAAAAATGTATGACAGCTAACATGTAGTTTATGAAAATTTGCCTCTTGAGCATGTGGCTCTAACAAAACCAAAACCAACAGGTTGCCAGCGACGTTGTGGATGGTAAGAGGTTAACCATCTGAGGTCTAAATTGTCATCAGTGATGGTCCCAACCCTAGCCCTAAAACCTAAACTTAAACCTGCTTTGGAATTAAGCAAAAAAAATTTAGAAGAAAGAAACATACATTTTTATGTGTGTCAGTTAAAATGATTACTTGTCCCGTGATAACAAGACTTGGGAGAAGCACAGAAGGTCCAGGCCCTCTCAGTCAAACAATGACACAACTCCTATGCCTAAAATACTACATGTACTTTAATATTAGGTTTTTTACAGAGTCACAAATTAGAACTAAATAGAGAAATCATATTATACTTATTCATTAATTTATTAATACATTATAGTAAGTCTGTGAACATTCTCTGGTTTATCATTGCCTTTTTTGGTACTCAACATCCCTCACCAGACAGAAAAGACATGACCACATGGATACACTCATACCTCCATCTGGTATCGCTAATATCACTTAGTCACTACACTGACTCATCATGCTCGTCACAACTTTAGTGTCAAATGGTGTGCATTCATTTCCACAGTTAAGAATTTAACTGATGTATCATGGGGAACTTTGTTCTTTTTTCTTCCCAAAGGCTTCCCTCTCAGCTCAGCGGGTTTAGGGGAATAACCCACACATGTCTAGGGTTACACATTTACACAGGCCCAAGCTGAGTCATGTCAGAGTGATGTTATCAGAAAATGCTACAGACCATACATGGCTTTACCATTTTATACTTTTAAACAACCAGTTGCAGTCTTTTACACTTATTTACTTCAAAACAACCAATCATAAGATTTTTAGGGACGCTATAACATTAACCTCTTACTCATGTGAAGTCTAAGTAATACCACTGTAAAGGCAATTTGTTTCCCCAATCTGATCATGTTTATTTATTTTATTGTAAATACAACAGCCTCCAAAAGCGATACTCCCTGTGTAATCACATTTAGGAAAATTAGTAGTATTAACCCTGCAGATCGTTCATCTGCTATTTATGACCTTCCATTCATTCACAGCTTCTTATCCCCTGGTGAACTTGTTTCATACTACAGGGAGTGCAGAATTATTAGGCAAATGAGTATTTTGTCCACATCATCCTCTTCATGCATGTTGTCTTACTCCAAGCTGTATAGGCTCGAAAGCCTACTACCAATTAAGCATATTAGGTGATGTGCATCTCTGTAATGAGAAGGGGTGTGGTCTAATGACATCAACACCCTATATCAGGTGTGCATAATTATTAGGCAACGTCCTTTCCTTTGGCAAAATGGGTCAAAAGAAGGACTTGACAGGCTCAGAAAAGTCAAAAATAGTGAGATATCTTGCAGAGGGATGCAGCAGTCTCAAAATTGCAAAGCTTCTGAAGCGTGATCATCGAACAATCAAGCGTTTCATTCAAAATAGTCAACAGGGTCGCATGAAGCGTGTGGAAAAACCAAGGCGCAAAATAACTGCCCATGAACTGAGAAAAGTCAAGCGTGCAGCTGCCAAGATGCCACTTGCCACCAGTTTGGCCATATTTCAGAGCTGCAACATCACTGGAGTGCCCAAAAGCACAAGGTGTGCAATACTCAGAGACATGGCCAAGGTAAGAAAGGCTGAAAGACGACCACCACTGAACAAGACACACAAGCTGAAACGTCAAGACTGGGCCAAGAAATATCTCAAGACTGATTTTTCTAAGGTTTTATGGACTGATGAAATGAGAGTGAGTCTTGATGGGCCAGATGGATGGGCCCGTGGCTGGATTGGTAAAGGGCAGAGAGCTCCAGTCCGACTCAGACGCCAGCAAGGTGGAGGTGGAGTACTGGTTTGGGCTGGTATCATCAAAGATGAGCTTGTGGGGCCTTTTCGGGTTGAGGATGGAGTCAAGCTCAACTCCCAGTCCTACTGCCAGTCTCTGGAAGACACCTTCTTCAAGCAGTGGTACAGGAAGAAGTCTGCATCCTTCAAGAAAAACATGATTTTCATGCAGGACAATGCTCCATCACACGCGTCCAAGTACTCCACAGTGAGTAAGAAAGGGTATAAAAGAAGAAAAACTAATGACATGGCCACCTTGTTCACCTGACCTGAACCCCATTGAGAACCTGTGGTCCTTCATCAAATGTGAGATTTACAAGGAGGGAAAACAGTACACCTCTCTGAACAGTGTCTGGGAGGCTGTGGTTGCTGCTGCACGCAATGTTGATGGTGAACAGATCAAAACACTGACAGAATCCATGGATGGCAGGCTTTTGAGTGTCCTTGCAAAGAAAGGTGGCTATATTGGTCGCTGATTTGTTTTTGTTTTGTTTTTGAATGTCAGAAATGTATATTTGTGAATGTGGAGATGTTATATTGGTTTCACTGGTAAAAATAAATAATTGAAATGGGTATATATTAGAGCTGGGCGATATGAGATTTTTTCATATCACGATATGTTTTTTTCATTTCAGGCGATAACGATATCTATCACGATATAAGCCAAATAACTATATTTGTAAGATTTAAATGTGCCGTTGCTCACAAGTAAAATGTGAAATAATCAGCAGCTTGTTTTTATTTAAATATTTATTTCCCATAATAAGTTCAACAGGGTAGATGTACTTAAGGAACATGAGACTTTTTCAGATAAATAAAGGCAAATATTGCAAACTACACAAAAGGCAGCCACTAAAGCGTTTACGTTTCAAAATAGAACAAACAAAACAGACTAAATTGTCAATTCCACTTAGAAACAAAATATTAATTCTAAAAATAAATCTTAGATTGTTTTACAGAAGAACAGACAAAACTGACTAACTTTTGTCAATATCAAATAAACTGAGAACTAAAAGGAAATTCTCAATCTCTCCTTGTTGTATAGCTGAGCTTTTCAAACAGTTTTAACAGTTACTTTAGTCTGACAAAAGCCGAATGACGAATTAGCGCTTCCAGTCAGAGACTGAGGCTACGTCCACACGTACACGGGTATTTTTGAAAACGGAGATTTTCCGTTTACGTTTTAAAAAATAATCCCGTACACACATAAAGGCAGAAATGAAGGAAAACGCTGCTATGAACATCCCAAAGCAGCAGGTGGCGCTAGATTCCTAACCGTACCGAAATGTTGGCCAATCAGAAGTCTAGAAGCCTCGGTGGGAAAAAGTAAACAAAGCTGGGGCATAGAAGCAGAACCGAGTCGTATGTGTGGAGGGACAGTAACTGTGTGTATATGTAAGCATTTAAACACTGCAGAGAGTAGAATTAACAGTAACAGTATTGTAGAAATTCATTTCACCGAAACAATAACGTGGCGCACAGTGTGACGCATGCACCAGTTTATTGTATTTCCAGACTTGCTTTCGGCACAATTTACAGTGCACGCTACTCTATTTTTTGTCAGACTTGAAATAGCCGAAATACCTTCACACTACGGAACTTCTTTGGCTCTTCCGTTTGACAATCTCTCCGGCATTGGAACCATCATCTGTTTTCTCTTCGGTCATGCTCGGTTGATTTTTCTAGTCGGCACACTCATTTCCTCCATTACGCGCTGGCTCCATTACCCGCTGGCTGCTTCCCAAACAAACACACGTGCGGCTTGGCACTTGTGCTGTACGTAACAAGTCACGCGACGTGACGCTGCGGCTGTGATTGGTTTGGCTCTGCGCTACTTAATTTGGATTTTTTTTTTTTTTTTTGAGGACAAGAGCAGCGAGGTCTATCGCGATAGCTTAATTTCTCTATCGAGTAAAAGTTATATCGCGATACATATCATTATCGTTCTATCGCCCAGCTCTAGTATATATTTGTTGATCACCATCAATGGCGCTGCTGTGGAGAGAGTGAGCAGCTTCCGGTTCCTTGGCGTACACCTGGCTGAGGATCTTACGTGGTCAGTACACACAAACAAAACAGTGAAGAAGGCGCAGCAGCGCCTCTTCTTTCTCAGGAGACTGAAA